ATTCTTGACTTCAGCTGGATCCCAAATTAAATGTTTTAACTCCATGCCTCAAAATATTGACTAAAATACATTTTGTTGATATTGTTCATAATAAAGAAGAAAGAAAGAAGAAAAACAAAGAAAGTAAAAAAAAAAATGAAATGAAATTAATGTGGCTAGTCGGGCTGCATAAATCTGAGCCCTATGCTTGATAGGCAATGTATTTCTTGCTTTAATTTTATAAATGCTCTTTTAAAAATCTCTAATGACTTGTATACTCTGTTTTTGAAAGAACACATTTTTATTTCAAGTTATTGTTTTCAAATGCCTATTTTTATTAATTTATTCCATACAGTGTAAGGTTTCTTTTTAGCAGAATGTATCAAATGAATAAGAGCAAATTAAATTTAGCCTGACTTAAGTTCAGCAAAACTCAAAGAAAGTGGCAGCCTTAATTCATTGTATGGAGAGTTAGGGTGAGGAGTATGACTGGTGTAGTGTTGAGGAAATATGATTTCAGTAAACTATTTCCACCTCTACCATTAGTGACTTGATAAATCAATAAAAAATGGAAAAGGGGCAATAAACAGACAAACATATCAAAGCTTTTGTCCTCATTCTTTTTTTTTTTTTTTTTTTTGCATGTCTGGAAATTTTTTAAAAATAAATGTTTATTTTTATAGAATTATTACAATTAATATTAAAATACCATAATGTGTTTTTTTTTTAATTTCATGCACAGAGATTTTTAAAAATGATATATTTTAGTTAGATGTTAACATAATTCCTTTACTCTAAGTTATACCAATAGTATATTTTGTTAAAGATTGTAATAAACCTGACAAACATTGATGACCTAGAATCATCACTTATATATATATATATATATATATATATATATATATATATATGTGTGTGTATGTATGCTAGTTTACTCATACTATGAAAAAATGAGAAATATTTAAGTTTTTGGTATTTTATGAGTACAATGTAATACTAAAATTACTAGCCATTTCATTTGCAAGTGAGAATAATTTAATACATGAATAAATTATGGCATTTTATTGGCTAAGTTTATAATAACAGAAAAATTCTTTTTCTTTTCTTTTATAAATAATTTTTATAAAAATGTCTGCAAAGAAGAAAATTTAAATAAATACACAACTACAGGTAACTAATCACAAATTTTGAAAAAATGCATTTTCTGTAATTTTTTTCATTTGCTCTCACCACATAAATTTGCTAAAATAGGTTGAGAGCATTTGGACTTACACTTTTTTTTACTAAAAAATTGAAAACATGTTAAACACTAATTATTTATTAGACTGTTTATTTACAAAAATAATGTTTTATACTTTTGCTGTCAATTCTCAAAACAAAAGAGAATGCATAAATTAATAAAATACTAAAAATAGTTTTTTAAAACAATAAAAAATTGCTGAGAGAGTATACAATAACACCAATGTCAAGATAAAAACCACCCTATTCAGTCACCAACCATTTTTTTGGTGGTTACATAGGTTGAACTTTACCCCTTTTTTCGTTACTTTCAAGTAAATCTGTTAAATAGTTAATTGAAGTACCAGTGTTACTATCACATTGGTAAGTAATCAGAAACTGTGCCAACTTACTAAAATTAATTTTTAGTATTTGTGTGATGATGCTTAGCTTAGTTTGACACAAGGTTACAAGAGAGAAGTACCCAATGAGGATTGAGAAATTTGGTTGGTAACATGACCTTGCTAGCCACTTCAGTATGGCAAGGCACTCATTTACTTCTACTAGGTTGAACGTAGGTCAAAAGTGAATGGTTTTCCTTTGAGAACTGAACTCACTAATGCAGCAGAAATGTTATTCTACAGAAGGATGCTGAGAATGGATGAAACATGTGAGCAATGACAAAGTCTTAGAGAAAATGAAAACAAAAAGGACACTTATACCCAGAATCAGAAAGAGATTATTGAAATTTCTAGGGCATACAATGAGGGAAGAAGACTTGGAAAATTTAACACACACAAGACATTGAAAGCAAGAGAAACAGTGGAAAGCAAAGAAAAACCTATTTAACAAGTTTGTGTAAGTGATTGACAGAATAGGGATGAGGAGAGATAGTAAAAAGTCAAACACTGTTAAGGGCTACAAAGAATGTGAAATTGTGGAGAGCCATGATCGTCCACATCTGGAAGGGACACAGCACATAGTAATATTAGTAGTAATAGTTTGATTGCTCCATGGTATGATGCACTTGAGCTATTTATTAGGCTTAGCCACATTATTTACAGTCAGACTAATATTTTCATCTTTGTTGATTTTATCACTGTAATATTTTGGCTCTTGTGTCTTTTGAAGTTCTTCAGGTGTTTGTTGATCTTAGTACATTTCAGGGAATTTTGAGCTGAACCCTTTATTTCATTTACAGCGAGTAGATTGTTCTCATCCCAGTGTCTATGCCTCAGGATATCTCATTCTTATTTTTTAGTAATGCTCAGTTATTGGGCACTCTGTTTCTACTGGGTTTCAGTATCTACTATTTGGCCCAGGGATTGAACTTGTAATTACTATGTCACTAAATTCATGAACCTATACTTTCACTCACTAAAAGTAATTCAGACATAAGTTAAACTTAGCTCCATCAGCCACAAAGCTAAAACTGTGGGTCATCTAATGAGGATCAAAATTTCTATGATAGTAATGGTTTGTAAGCTACATGGTGAGAAGCCAAATAAAAATTTAATGTGTGTGTGTGTCCTAAAGAGCAACAAGTGCTATAATTTGATCTTAGTCGAAAAAGTAAAAGTAAATAAAATATTCTTATTCTACTCTCAGAACATGTTACTACTACTTTTATTTTTCAGATCAGACCATTTAAATCTTTTCAAGTACTTCTGAAATTATAAAAGACTGAAGAAATATTATACTGTTTATTTTTCTAGAATATGCCACTTACAGAGTTTCTCTCTGTAAGTGTTAATGAATTCAAACATGATTGAAATGTGTACATAATATATTTTATTGAATCTAGTGAGTTTTGGAAGAAAATTAACAAGAATGGAACAGTTTAAGATTAAACAAATAAATTCCAAAATGTAATAAATAACTATAATGTAGATAATCTCTCTATTTTTCAAATATCAATCATCAATTTTTTTTTTTTTTTTTGCATCTTGTTTTTGTATTGTCTTTCTTACTCAATAACATTTTTTCAGTTTTTTTTTTCCATTATCAGTAACACTTAGTGGCTTTATTTCCTTGCTTGGGGTGAAATGATTTATAAAAAAAATGTAATTTTTTGTCTACCTTTTTTTTCTATAATAAATCAAAAACATATATAAAACGACAAATGAATGCTGCCTTGATTTGAACAAGTGACCAGGTGATAAGCAGTCAAGTGACATATTCATTTATGCTACCATTTTACTGCTTGAACATCATGGTGAAATTAAATATGCAAATTTTAAGTTAGGCAGATGACACAGATACTACTCTGATCCTTAGCATAAATGCTGGTGTACATAATAATCCTGTCACTTTTGACTGGTACTATGTATAATTATATATTTAAAACCGACATGTGGAAACTTCTTATGACATCTTTTTTATCATTTCACCCCAAGCAAGGCAATGAAGTCACTGACATACAAAGGGTTACTGAGTGGGAAAGATTATGAAGAAAAGAAAACATTATTAAGGAGAGAGAACAATAAAAGAACAGAAAATAGGAAGACAGAAGATAATGATTGATCTTCAAAAATTTATATGCAATGTCAAAGTTGACTGGAAAGCAAGAAGACAGAAGAGAGTTCCACAAGTGAGAAGTGTGAGAGAAGAAACTGTTAGCATAGAACTTACAGTTATGTTTAGATATTTCAACTATAAAATGATGAAACCTAACAGATAATCTATTGCTGTGCTTAAATTTATAAAGTGTAGGTACTAAAGCTCAGCTGGACAATTGCCATGAAAATATTTATAGAAAAGGCACAGGGAAAATACATTACTGAGTTACTTAACAAAATATGCCTTTTGTCAGTATGAATAAACTAATAATAAATATCATTATCATCATAATAAAATCAGAGAGCACATAGATACAATTCTTTGAGAATTAAATAGACTCAACATATTGATAGAAATAGAGTGGGGACTTTTTATATGAAACAAATGACATTTTTAAAAAAGAAATGTGATAATCCAACAATAGATTTGGTCTCTTTTTCTTTATTTCTCTCTATCTTTCTTTTTTTTCTATTATTTTGTAATGATAACAAATCCAGAAAGAAAGCAGGTGTGAAAAGGAATTGTTTGGAAGTAATGTAATTTTCACACCTTCAAGTCTTAGGTAAATAAAAAGGCATTTAAATGACAAACTGAGAAAATGATGGATAGACTGAAAAGAAAAGAAAGTAAGCTGTGCTGTGGGTTAAAACTGTATATTATAAGTATAATCCAAAATAATATTTCTTAAGTTCTAGTGGATAATGCTTCCATGGTGCGAATGCATTTTGTTCATGATAATGTACATAGTGTTTTTTTTCCTTATATATATATATATATATATATATATATATACATATATTCATTCACATATGTAGAGAAAAGATAAGATGTGCCAGGGGATGAATTCTCTCATCCATGTGCAGCTGATGGGCAAATGAAGAGACAGAGCACCATCACAATCTTTCTTATTGCTATGACAACCACCATTATTTTCCTTATTACCTGTCTCATCATTATTATTAATATCATTATATTTTTTCTTTGCTCTAATCACTGTTAAGTGCAATACTACCTGTAATAACAACATAAAAGCAACAATGATATTAATAACGACTAGAAATACTTGTGAAAAATTCACCGTTTTGTTATTTCAATTTTGTGATGAATCATAATTCTTAAGTTAATGATTAAATAAGCTCTTTGTGAGTTCAATCAACATGGAAATTCCGATATTGTATTGTCCAATATTTGAGCTTAACAATATTAACAAAATATTGCAATAACAGACATAAATATAAGGGCTTACAGCCACATCACATTGAAACACCGGTTCATGTACAATCACTGAAGTTAAGCAATGTCAAGACTGGTCAGTACCTTGATCGGTGACCACTTGGGAATACCAGGTGCTGTAAGCTTGGGTGTGCAGATGGTGCAATGAATAATGGCTTGGAATTGTTAATCAGAGAGATGAGTTCCAATTCTAATTCATTAGATTCACTTATGTGCAAATACCCCTGGGAAAGATATTAATCCACCTCTTCTTCCATAGCTTACAATCTAAAAATATTTTCCGGCTTTAAATAACCTGCAGAGATAATAAACCATAGAAAAAAAAAATCAGTCAATCATAAATGTGAATGTAGGTCATTATTTAAAGAAGTAAGAGGATACAAATAAAAAAAAATTGAAATTTATAGCAAGACAAGTTTTTTTTTCCATTTCACTGAAAAATCTGTCAAACATATGATAACATTGTCCTCCTCTTTCTTTTTTTTCTCAGTGTAACCAAGTTGCATCTTTTTCAATCTTTCTTCATGATCAAAAAGGAATAGTCCATTATTTCTAAGGTATTAGCAGGGCATAACAAATATGTTAACTAACAAAAATTATATGATGAATGAAAAGTACTGTATTTGTTTTCTACCTGCAAGACTTTTTCTTCTTTTATATGTCATGTCCTTTCAGGATATTGGCAATCATGACTCTCCATAATTGCCTGTCCTTTGTAGCTCTTAGTAAAGTTTGCCTTTTTTGCTATCTCTCCTAAACCCTGTTCTGCTAACCATTAATACCAGCTTGTTAGGTAGGTTGAGTGCTGTTTTCCTCTGTCCCTTGCCTTCAATTTTTTCTGTGAGGGTCAAATTCTCCAACCCCTTTTTCCTCATTATGTGCCCTAAAAATGTCAACTATCTCTTTCTTATGTTAAGTATAATTATCCATTTTGTTCCAATTTTCTTTCTGTCCTGGGTATGACGATAAACTGCATCCAACAGCAAAGCCTCTTCCCAGGTCCACACTGACACGGGGTGGTAGCACCTGTTATGCTCCCAGCTATGGGCAAATAGCAAACCCTGTGAAAGTGTAAAAATAGGTTTTAATACCAGCAATACGTTTTTGTAAAAAATATTACCAGTAATACATTTTTGAAAAGAAATATTACTAGCAATAAAAATCTTGTCAGCATTAAATAACCCATTGAGATGTTGATATGCCGTAAAACAAACCAAACTAATTTTCTTTAAAACTTCATGTTCAGTCCATAGTATTCCCAGCATCCTTCTGTAGAACCACATTTCTGTTGCTTTGAGTCTCTTCTTCATCTGTGAGGAGATTGTTCAGCATTCACTGCTATATAGGAAGACTGACATTGTGTAACAGTTCAGTACTCTTTTCTTTGCAAGACACAGTTTCTAAAAAATAATGTATCCAAATTCAGATATCATATTGTGATTGGAGGGCAGATCACCAGAGGCTAAAGCTGTACATGCAGCTAAAGAATGAGGATGATAAGCAGAATTAAAAAAAATAATGTTTTAAAATATGTTTTATAGATGAGGAAATGCAATCACAAAAACAACATTCTAAAAAAAATATTAATGATGGAAATAACATTATTAATAATATTTATTAATAACAATATTAAAAGTAAGTCAAAATTCTTGGTTCAAATCATGGCAAAATATACTATATTTGATTTTGAATTACAGAGTAACAAAACTCTCCCCTCTCCAACTGCCACCCATCAAGTAGATATAAACAACTAGTACTGACCTAACTCAAAAACACATAAATGATTAAAAATTAAATATAATAATTAAAAAAACTGATTTCAACATTATATAATCCAACAAGGATTGAGATTTTGAAAAATCAAGCAAACTGACCAAAGATATATTGGCAGTTTGGGGGGGGGGGCTTATATGTGAAGATGAGAGGAACAAGTACTTACCTAGATACCACAAGCTATCAGTACCTGTATTTACTGTAACTTCATAATTCTATACTGTTAATATACCAATGGGGTGGGGTATCTTATATGCTATTAAATATGGTACCACTTAGTTTTATGATATATAAAAAATGATGATAAATGTGCAGATAAAATTCTGAAAAATATGTTAAGAAAAAAAAATCTTTTGTTTATGTTGTCATACTGAAAACCCTGGAGTTATTAGTTCAATCCTTGTCTTAGGCCACTTACAAAAACTTGTTTTGCTGGTATATGTGAAGTGAGAATGAGAGGAAAGATAAACTTATGAAAGTTCGTATAGACCCCAAATGAAAAATCATGAAACAAGAGAGAAGTCTTCTGAAGTCAATAATTACAAAAGACTTTAGATGTGAGAATAAATATTTATATATCATTTTCAATGAAATAAAGGGTCTTGTTTATTGCTTCTGGAAGGTTATCAGATGTGCCATATACCTGATAAGGGTTAGAAAAGTACTGGCCGGAACATTGTCATTGAAATAGTAAAGATGAGAATTTTAGTTTTGTTGTGGACTAGTCTGTGTGTTCTTTCATTTTTTTCTGTCTATAATGAATATAAATTTATAATTTGTTTACATAGATGAAGATGATTCTAAAATTATGCTTGTAATTATAATAATGCTTTAAGAATGAATAATGAATAAAATTTAAAATAAGGATAGAATCACCCAAAGGTCCTGTTTGTAAATATTTATTATCTACAAGCACGATTTTTTAAGTTAGCTTCATCTTTTATATGAAAATTATCTGATGGGCAGGTATGAATTTCTATGTAACTGGTTATCATGTGTTTGATAGTATTACATAAATATAAAATCTGTTTATCTTTCAAACCAATATTATAACACTTGAATAGATGTAGGCATTATTTATTTACATTTTTGTCCAACTATTGTTTGTTTGTCTTTTGTTTTTCATCATGTAAACAATGAGGTGGAAAGATAATGAAAACATTTGTGTACTTAAGTCAGAATGGAAATAACATTGCAAAGAATCAAGCTACAAATGAAAAGAACAAAGTCAAAATAACTTTTTTTCTTCTTTTTTTTTTTTAATTTTGTAATGGAGTTCTTAACAAATTTTGAAATATTAGGAAAACAACTGAAATTAGCAACAATGGTAAAACTTAAAAGAAAAATGGCTTTAGAAGGAAAAATTCTTTTATCTGCAATGACTAAGAAATAGGCCCCTACATGTTTGTATCAGTTTTGTATCATGTTTGGCAAAAACAAAAATAATTGAGAACAAATTACAATTGTGTACTGGGAAGAAAGAAAAATCATTTTATCAAGTGAATTCTCCAGTTTTAGTTATTAAAGTATGAGTTTACTGGTTCTTATTATTTGATTCATATATGTTTATATATATATATATATATATATATATATATATATATATATATATATATATATATACTAGCTTAATAGCAGGCCTATTGGGCAAGCATTTAAGTTAGCTCCATCAGAGGGCACTTGATTAGGCCTTCATCGCAATAGGTAGGGAGGAGTAGATGCAATAGGCATCAATAAACTACAGAGGAACTCAAAATTGATCACTGTATTTAAGTATTGAATTAATATTTAAGCTTACCTTTTAAAAGTTGAATGATAATTTTTCTCCCGCCACTTAATTTACAGACAATTTGATGTATGTAGGTCCTTACTTTCTGTACAAACAATAATTTTTATTTCATGGGTGACTTTTGCTTGATTTCACAATTAATTTCAATTATTCCCAAACTTATTTCCAAGTTATAAAAATTGTTATCATATAAAAGTCTAGCCCGGAATATTTTTAATTTGTTCCCAGTCAGCTGATTCCAAAATGGTATAATGTGTTTAGCTATGGCCTCTAGGAGTAAAATTGAAAAAATGTGACAGGGTGACACACTGACATTCATATTATATATATATATATATATATATATATATATATATATATATATTATGTTTATCTTTTTAACATACAGTAATACCTTGAGATACAAGTGTATCTTGTGGAATGGTGCTAATGAGTTTTTTAGATATGAGCCAGAGTTTGGCCAATTTTTTGCTTTGAGATACAAGCAAGTTTCAGTTAAGCATCTGCAGTACACTTGTTCACCTCTGCTTTTGGAAGGGTCTCTGTTGGGTTGGGGTTTTTTTTTTGCTGTTATTTTGCAAAATTCCTTTAGTGACAATATGGGTATGAAGTAAATAACTGTAAATAGCAGTAGTGAATTTTTAGGAGCCTGAAACAGATTGGAAATATTCCCATTAATTTCAATGAGGAAAACTGATTTGAGATCTGAGTGTTTTGTGTTATGAGCTCAGTCTTGGAATGAATTAAACTCGTATCTCAAAGCATTTCTGTATTTATAAACTTTTTACACTTTTTTTTTTTTTTTTTTTGATAGTTAATAGGTACACTTTAAAATAAAGCAACTGGAACCATTTTTGAAAAGAAATAGTGAAATTAACCCCACATTGTACCATTGGTACTAGGGGGTGTTTGAACACAACACAAAATGCTTTTCTTTAATATATAGTAAGTGGCAAGTCAAATTTTCACAATTAGCTAAGTAGTTATCTGAATACATCTGTCAAGTAACTACGAATTTCTGGTTTTAGTCTTAATATTAATATGAATTACAACAGTCTTATTTGTTGGCTGATGATAAAAATTAAATCTATTTTTGCATATTTGAATTTTTTTAAATTACAGATTCACTTTTCTGTATTGGCCTTTTAATTCAATATTTCAAAATTAAACCTTTTGTTTTTCCTATAAAAAGCAAGAATAACACTCAAGACAATTTATAACAAGAAAATTAAGAACTAAGTGATACATTTGTGTTATTTTAAATGAGGTGTTTGAAAAAATCCTACACAACTAATATTATTACAATACCTCACAGTACTAATGGAAGGTTAATGATTCATAGAAAACACCTATTTGAAGGTAAGTAAAAATATTTACATTATCTCTATTTGGACTAATATTCTCATCTTTGGAGTTGTTATCACAAACTTCTGACTATTGTGTGAGCAGCGTAACCTTCAAAATCCATTATTTAATCTGCAAGAGTAGATTGTTCTTGTACACTGCCCATACTTGGGAATATTTCATATTGTTCTTATTTTAATATTGCTCAGTTATTGCT